GTCCCACATACAGCAACTAGAAGGATGTGCAACTATGACATACAACTATCTACTGGGGCTTTGGGGGGGAAAAAAAAAGGAGGAGAATTGGCAATGGATGTTAGCTCAGAGCCGGTCTTCCTCAGCAAAAAGAGGAGGATTAGCATGGATGTTAGCTCAGGGCTGATCTTCCTCACAAAAAAAAAAATAAATAAATAAATAAAACATAAAAAGGGCAGCTATATCAGCAATACTTCAAAGATGTTATAAAATTCTCTTCTTTTCTTCAGTAAATAGAAAGAGTATGTTAGCATTCTCTGAGAGAGAATACTTACAGTTAATTAGGAAAATATATGGTATTCACGGAAATAAAAGAATTTATGAGAATAGTACTTACAGATATTTAAGAAAAAGTATGAAATAAGAAAAAAGAACAGTCTGGTGGATATTAGAATAGTGTTTGTCTAATCTAGACTAAATGCTAAAACAATTTCAAACAAGTTGGTAAAGCTCAATTTTCACAAAAGTGAAATTTTCACAAAAAATGTTCACTTTAAGAACTAAAGATTCCATACATTACAGCAGTCATTTTCTCTAATGAGGTCACTACAGTTCATGTGTTTTTTATCTGATGCTGAGTGAGAGGAAGCGAGCGTGAGGACACACCAGGAACCTCATCAGCAAGGCAGGGTAGTGGGGAGCTAAGTGACGTGATGCAGATATGAGAAGAGCAATACAATCAGGTGGAACAGGCCTAATTAGAATCTGGATCACAAAGATTGGAGCTCTGAAAGAACAGTCACTCACATTTCTTGCTTTCTCTAAGTACATTTTATATCTTTCCTCCATTGCTTTCATATCCTCATCTTTCTTCTGAAGAGCAGCTTCAAGTTCATTGATCTTTTGTACTATTATTGAAAATGAAATGAAACATGATTACCTATTTAGAATACTCCATCCTCAAAGAAAAATTATATTTATCATATTTAGCTTCTAAAGACTGATAAGAGAACGTAAAAGAGAAACCTTTTATTTCTTCTTTGTAGTGAATTCTTACCTAAAACTTTTGAACTATCACCAATACATCCCTTATCATTTCATATTACTTTTTCTCAAAAAATATCTACAATCTGCTTTATCTGGCTTTTTTTCTCCTTTCTATGAAGCATTTCGAGGAGCAAGTACACCTTACAATGAAAGCACAACTATCATAAGAGAAAATAAAGAATCTTTCTGTATGTTTGAAGTTCATTTTAATCTGATTATAAATCATTATTTTATTTACATTTCCACAGTATTAAGTGTATTATATTTTACAATGTTTGATACTCCTATATATCAATCAGTTCATTTTATTAGATTTACTTATTTTGCTTTAAGATTAGATCATTTATTGATTACTTAAATCACTAAAAATTATCATGGTTCTTATTTGCAAAGTATGTATCTATGTACTGTCCAAAGACTTATGCACAGTTCTTGCATCCTTCAACTAAAAAGGGCAAGTCCTTACATACAGTCTGATCCAGGTTTTCACAAATACCTACCGTTCTGGTTTACATCTGGCTGAAGATCTTCAATGAGTTCTTGTTTCTTCTGTAATTCTTCATGGACCTCTGTTAGTTTTTCCCTAAGTAGTGGAAAGAGCATGGAGCTTTGGAGGCAGACACACCTAAGAATGAAAACTGATTTCTGCCAAATAACATTTGTGGACTGTGGGGAAACATTTGTGGACTGTGGGGAAGCCCCTTTCTGATTCTCAGCTTCCTCACTTGTGAAGCGGAAAGACTATCTGCCAAACATCAGGGGGTTGTTGTGCGGATAGAAACTGCCTGCACATGGTGGGTGCCAAAAATGTTAAATTTTTTCCCGTTGCCACCCTTGCTTCCTAAGAAAGTTAAAGAAAATATTTTATAGGTTAAATATCCCACACTGCCACATAGTTGTGATAGTTGTCTGCTTTGTAAACTCTTGAAATGACATCAGTGATTGAAAAATGGAGGAGTTTGGGATCACTGGCAGCTGAACCTTCTAGCATGTTTTTCTCTTCCCTTTTTGGTGGCAGTGGTGAACATTCAATTGGCATCAGAATATTTGCTCTTATAAACAAAATCAGAAAAGGACATTAATTCTAGAAGCTTTTAAAACCCTTCCCCTCTCGTATTTGAAATGAAATATCAGTTTTACTTACATATGAGCTTCCAACTTCTGCTTTAGTTTGCTGGACTATAAAAATTTTAAAAAGTTGCTGTAAGATAACTATCATGACAAGATAAATTTTCCACACACCACATCTCTCTACCTCCTTTTGAAGGTGTACTATTTAAAATTATAAATGTTTCAAAAATTTGTATTCTAATAACATACTTGTAAAAACGTAAAATTTTAGGTATTTTTTTACTTCAAAGGGGAAAGGGAAGGAGAACAGGAAGTGAAGTAAGGAAGAGTACAACAGCAGAAAGAAAACTGCTTCACGTTTCTGAATATAATGAAAATAAAATGTGAACTTGAAGAAAAATAGCAAATGCAAGATGAAGGTGATATATTGAGGAGTATCAAAGATTTAAATACCTAAAGCATCATTTATTTAAATTCCAATTTTAAGATTTTAGGCCTTTAATGAAGAATAAAGAACTAAAATAATTATCTTTAAAATAAAATTTTATCATTATAAATGCAAGCACTTTAATATTAACATCAAAATGAAGCAATTGGATTTTGTTAAAAAATAAATTTTAAAATAAAATTTCCTCTAAAAAACACAGGAATTTAAACTGCAATAGTAGTAGTTCTGTATCATCTACTGAAATAGCTAAGAGTTTAAAATACATAATCTGAAATATAATTTAGAAACCAATACATTTTTTTACAAAGATAAAGAAATCTAAAATCTTTAAAACACTGCATTCCAAAATACACTCCCCCAAACAGATCCCATTTTAAAAGTATTCCCTAATGTGGCTTTTAAAAAATATTTGTATTAGAGAGGTTACAATACCGTATATATGCACATATGAGATGCCGCCATGCATGAGACGATTTCTATTTTCCAAGCCCCCAGGGAAAAAAGAGAAAATATAAAGTATATAAAAGGCAGAAAGGAAAAGCAATCCTTTCAATCTTCCTTTTCATCTCTACTTACTCTCCATAGTTTTCTCCCCCATCAACACAGGTACGATCACCTAACTTTCTATCTAATCAATATCTATCTAACACACATCTAGCCCTATCGTTTTGTTGTTGTTGTTTTAGTTAAACACATGCCTCCTTTGATTTTGACTTCTTTTCCCCTCTGCATAAAGAGATCAAACTACAGAAACACTGCTAGGTATATTCAGATTTAGGCTGTTTGAGCTCTCAAGTCTTCTTATCTCTGCCCTCACAATATCTGCCATCAAAAACCAGTAGAAACAGCAAGGCTGTGAGTCAGTATGGAAGAGGGAAGAAAGAAGGGGTGATGTCTTCAAGATTGCACTAAGGTTTCCGTCCTTTGGAGGCTGGAATGCTCCACTTCCTGAGTGCTCTTTTGGTAGAAATCATTTCTCATTCTCTCTTTTCCTATTAGAAATTTCCCTCACTTCTGCCCACTGATTACCCTCACAAGGGTTTTTCTCAGGCCAGCCTGCTTGGATCCCAGCAGAACAGTGAAGGCCTCAAGGGGAGCATGCTCTCCATCAGCAGTTACCATGAACTTAGGTGTAGCTGTTGAAGAAGGACAGACAGAAATCACCTTCTAATACATATGATCAATCGATAGGCCCCAAGTTGGCAAAATCGCTGCACCTGTTATGCAGATATATACGGTATTTAAGGGGACCCCCCCAGTGATAAGGGTAGCACTTTCGAATACAAGATTAATTTGAGCATCAGGACCTATTCCAGAGAGTTCCATATGCAGCACAATTATTATAATTTTTAAGCTACTTACACTTTCTCCTTCAGGCTTGGAGCCTTGCTCCTGTAAGGACTTCTGGAGGTCCTCAATCTGCTGCTGCAATTCTCGGATGCGCTCTCTGCTCAGCCTGTTGTAAGATGAATCATATGTGATTATTTGTATTGAAAGTCAAAGTACTTAAGGATCTATAAAGGTGGGTTTATGCAATTTAACTCATAAAGTATACATTTAATAGCAATAACAAATGCCAAACACTTATCTATGGAGAGGTATAATATATAGTAGAGTAGGCTACTTTCAAGGAAATAACTAAAAAAATAAGACTTTTTTTTTTTTTTTTTAATTTTTATTTATTTTCCCCCAAAGCACCAGTAGATAGTTGTATGTCGTAGTTGCACAGCCTTCTAGTCGCTGTATGTGGGACGCGGCCTCAGCATGGCCGGAGAAGCGGTGCGTTGGTGCGCGCCCGGGATCCGAACCCGGGCCGCCAGCAGCGGAGCACGTGCACTTAACCGCTAAGCCATGGGGCCGGCCCAAATAAGACATTTTTAACCTGAAAGCATATACACCCACATTTAACAATTTAAGGTACTTCCGTGTCAGTGACAAAAGTATAACATTTCTGTACTATATTCACTGGTATAAAAATTAGAAAACTAGCTCAATTTTCCTCCAGTTGTATTTTCAATGAATGGAACTAGGTTTCCTTTTCCTGTTTCAGATTTCAGAGTGTACTGGGCGAAGGCGAAGGTCACCATTTCCCAACCATTTCTTCGTGACTTTTTACTTAAAGTGACTGGCACTACCAACTAGAGCAGATTTTTAACTTGGCAAATCTCATTCTTTAAAACCCTGCTTAAGAGTTACTTCCATTGTACATTACCAGCAAGAAAGAGAGAGTACCTGTCTGACTTTCTCTCTTTTAATATATATATTTATATGACACAACACACCTGCCCAGTATAATTGTCCTTAGTCCCAGTGTTGTAGTTATCACATAATACAATAATTATCTACTCACGTGTCTGTCTTCCTAAATCAACTCTCTAAAAGCTGAAACTTAGTATCTCCAGTGCTGATACTGAACTCTACAGGATAGTAATATTTACCAGTGTCTTCAGAAAGCTAAAATGTTATTCTTCTTTTAATAGTATAAACACACAAATTTGAGAGACAAGATTCAAGTGTCTCTAAAATTCCTGGCAGTCTCTAAGAGCCAATAAAGCTTGGTCAAATAAATTCAAATACCTTTATTGCAAGTATGCTATTTATAAGGCAGGTTAGCACAGTGGTTAAGAGCACAGACTCAGCAGTCAGATTGACAGAGGGTTCTATGTAGGCTCCAGAACTTACTAGCTGGGTAACTTCGGGCAAGGTACTTAACCTTCTTGTACCTCAGCTTCCTTAGCCATAAAAAAAGATAGTCATAGATACTATTTCAGAGAGTTATTGTGAGGATTTATTTATACCAAAATAGTGCTTAGAAAAGCACCTGGCATATAGTAAGCAATACATAAATGTTGTATTTTTTTATTCATAATTTTTGAGCACCTCACTGGTATCAGATAAGTACACTGTTTGCTTTAATCAAGTTATCTATAATCTTCATAACAACTTGCAAATAGGTATCACCTCCAATTTATAGCTGAGGACACAAAGTGTGACTTTAAGCAACTTGCACAAAACCAAACAGTTAATAAGTTTAAGTAGAGGTGGGATTAAAATTTGAGTCCACAATCTGTGTCCCATCTATGCACCAGACTGCAGTAGAAAGGCAGACTGTCATTTACTCATGTGTTAAATTTTCTGTCTGTTGTAAAGATATCTAAGTGCAATTCAAGAATAAGCAACCTGGTTAACAAAATGTGCTAAAAGTAATGGGTAGTGAGAGACTAAACACAAACAAATTTAAACTTCTTCTAAAATCCTAATTATTTTAACTACAATGATATTTTCCACTTCTGGAATCAAGACTTTGTGGTTACGTAACGGCATCACCACGAGTGTCTATTATGAAGGAGCATGTCACCTTTGCTCAGTTTCCAATTCATTCATCCTGCGGTGCTTCTGTTCTAGCTGCTCCTGAAGCTCTTCAATACGTTCATTCTCAGTACCTTCCTGCTGCAGGCGAAGCATCTTGTTTTCATGTTGCAGTCGGATAAACACCTCCCTGTTGTTGAAAAGCAAAATTTGTTTTGAAATTTTTTAAATGTAAGAATTTTCACATTCTTAACTTTTTATAAGAAGAAATTCTTGTCCACTCAATAGTTGTCATTTTAAAATGTTACCAAAGCTTCTGAAAGTTAAGAAAAAACTGTGTACATTGTAAGACTATGTCTCAAAAAGAGTAAGTTTTTAAAGGTACAGGTATAAGATTATGTTATATATGATTAAGTGTTGATTATGCAAATCCCTAAGAGATAATATGAATGGTTTTACTTTCATAATTTAGAAACTATTCACTGAAGGTAATAAATAGCATATCCTTAGAAAACATATAACTGAAAAGCAATAGACTTAAGAAACTATAGCTTGCCTAAATAGTTTAAATATACTTTTATGATGACAGTCATATGATTATCTCTAGATTTTTTGTTTTTAGAAAAAATTTTTATTAAAAGTTTATATACATATTTTTAAAAATACAAATGATAGGAATGGTATTAAGTAAAAAAGCAATGCTTTCCTAACTGCTGCCCTCCTAAATCCCATTCCCCAAAAGCAGCTAATTTCAATCTCAATTTTTGTTCTTCTGAATGCCAGCACCATAACTTTAAAAAACAGGCTCATATGGCTATTTTTAAATGATAATAATCTCACTGGATATTAAAAACTAAAAAGTGCAAGTCGGTTTCCAGCCTGGCATATAAGGAGCTCTATCTTAACAACAGAACACTGAACAAACTGAAAATCAACAACTTTGTACTGAAAATCAACAACTTTGTACTGAAAATCAACAACTTTGTAAACATTACGCTAAGTGAAAGAAGTCAGTCACAAAAGGCCACATATTGTATGATTCCCTGTACAGGAAATGTCCCTAAGAGGCAAATCGATAGAGACAAAGAGTAGACGATTGGTTGCCCGGGGCTGGAGTTGGAGGGGAGGCAGGAATGGAGAAGACTGCTAACAGGTACAGGGTAGCTTTTGGGGGGGATGAAAATGTTCTAAAATTAGATATTCACAACTTTGTGACTATACTAAAAATCACGGAACTGTACATTTTTAAACGCGTGAATTATATACCAAAAAAGCTGTTTAAAGAGTATGAAGTAATAAATCAATAAAACTGTTGCCACAAGAAGGAAAATAAAACCCTAAAAATACCAGATTAGTCAATTGTCCAGAAGTAAACATAGCAGTAAAATACCCAGATAAAGTTGGGTCAAGAGGAACCTCTACAATTTGTGTTTGATTTAACTTCTGCTTCATCCTCCTGCTATGATTGACAGCTTCTCTCCCATTTTTCTCACCATGTGGGCTTGAATGTCATGTATTAAAAGGGTTTTCAACCGAGTTTAAGGATAGGAAAAGAAGTTCAACACAATAAAGGTCTTATTATAAAAGCCAGAATATGTTATTCAGCTAGTTTGTAAAATTTTACTTCTGATAAATTTTAAAACTGCTGTAGTAGCAATAATAATCTGACTTAGAAAGTTTAAGCAGATGAGACAAAGTAATCTTGACCTCTGTGACTCATAAAATGGAAAGTTTTAAACGCTCAGAAATTTACAAAAAAAAGAAGAAATCACATTTCTAATATTAAGTATGGATTATCAATTAATTAAAAATAAATTTACCTATATTCCACTGGCATAATCTCAGCAGCAAGATTCTCATAACTTTTTGTAGCAGATGCATCTAAACAGCAGCAACAAGAAACAGATGAACATTTCAGTATTTCTACCATTAAAAAAAGCTTTTCTAAATCCAACAAAATTCACCTGTTTGGCATAGATGATCCTGTTGTACTTGTGAACATCGCAGCTCTTCATTCGTTTCTTTCAGAGTATCACGCTGTTCTATTAGTCTCTAAAACAGAATTGTTTATATAAGCCAAATATTTAATTTTGCCCATAGGCAATGTACTTTATGCTTACAATAATTTATCTTAACAAAATAATTTGATAATTGTTGCTTAGTTAATGAAAAATAACAATGCTTTAGTTTTAATGCTAAGGGGTAATTTTCTCTTGCATACATCACATAAGTAATAGTCTTTATACAACACAAAGCTTGTGATTTCCCCATTAGATAGTTTATTGTTGAACTAAATGAACATAATTAAGCAACAGAGTATAAACAAGCAACTGTAGAGTAACAAAGCATGGACTTTGGATGTAAACAGATCATGGCTTGAATTCCAGTTTCACTACTTCCTAGCTATATTATCTAGGCCAAGTTATTTGACTCTTTGGCTTTAGTATCCTTTTTTTTTTTTTGTGAGGAAGATCAGCCCTGAGCTAACATCCATGCTAATCCTCCTCTTTTTGCTGAGGAAGACCGGCTCTGAGCTAACATCTATTGACAATACTCCTCCTCCTTTTCCCCAAAGCCCCAGTAGATAGTTGTATGTCATAGTTGCACATCCTTCTAGTTGCTACATGTGGGACGCGGCCACAGCGTGGCCGGAGAAGCGGTGCGTCACTGTGCGCCCGCGATCCGAACCTGGGCCGCCAGTAGTGGAGCGCATGCACTTAACTGCTAAGCCACAGGGCCCGCCCAGGCTTAGTATCCTTATCATCAAAAGGGAAATACTGATACATAAACTCTTGCAAAGGTGTTTTGAGTAACGAATGAGGTAGATTTTGTCTATATCCAGAATATAGTCTGGTGTGTAGGAGATTTGTAATTTCCTTTTATCATAGCTGTGAAATTCCACTGAAAGAAGTGATACATAGTATCCTGGAAGTATGATTTTGTGGAAAAACACTATTTCCCAAGGATAGATCCTAGGACTTCATCATTAGCTATTTTATTTTAGAGCCTACAGCTAATGACAAATTTCTATGCCCTGTACAAAAGGCTCACATTTAAATCATTATCCCAGAACTTGAAAAGTACTTTTGAATATAAAATCATATTTTAAATGCTGTTATATTCCAAATCAGTAAACAAAACCCTATTTAGTCCACTATGTAGTTCAAATCACCCTAACAATAAATTGGTAATTGATTCCAAGGGTCCTTAGGCTGAGTCTACAGATGCCCTAGGGATCTCTGAACACTATAAATTATAACTACAAGCAGGCATGAGGTCCTTTATAAATCTGTACCTTCATAAATGCAATGCAAACACTAGAAAATTGGTCAAAATCAACTTTTCCAGAACTCTGAAAATTAACTAAAGGCCTGTAATGATCTGAGGAGCATTTGTTAGAGAAAATCTGCTAAATCTCAGTTAGAACAGTGAATTTTTTGTTCTTTTAAATTGTCTTACTACTATCATCCTCTCCCCAGCTTTAGAGTAGCCTTATAAACCAGCAGTCTTTCAATCACCGTAGCTTTGAAAAGCAGCAGTACAGCAAGCACCAGAAGGGGCAAACGGGACACAAAACTCGTCCCCAAAAGCCCCATCCTTAGAGAATTGTCATTATTTGACCTGTCTTACAGAAGCCTGGAGAAGCCCCATATATAGGCACTTTTCATTATTTGAACTGATTTGGTGCTCTCTGTGCAGGAAAATCCCTATTCTCAAGGCATTTGTCAAAAATAATCATCAGCAATTGCTTATCACTATAGCTGCTGAAGGCTGTGATGTCAGTTGGGGCAAATGAGAGCCTGGCCAAAAACTTACAGGGAAGATCTGAGAACAAGATATCTGTAGGGGACTTTGAAAAGCTCTGACATTTTCCTGGAGATTCAGGAGGACAGCCATGTGCAGGGCTGCCTGTGTGCCCAGAAAAGACCTGAGAGGGCCCCAAGTCTCAGCTCTGGATAAACCTGAGGCCCTGTGCAAGCATGAAATAAAGGCAAAGGCAGAGTTTTAAACTGCCTTAGAATTGAAGGTGTTTTCCAAAACACACACTGAGTCCTTGGGCAAAGGCTGGGAGAGTTATTGGTTCAAGGCATCAGTGGAAATATATGATTAATCATTAACTGACCTCAATGGTAACTGAGCAGAGAATTCAGTGACTACATATTACAAAGAATGCAGACATTACAGAATTAGTCCAAAAAAGTCACTAAAAAACCCCAGAAACAACAAATAATCCTAAAGTTGAGGGAAATCTGATTATCAGAGTTGAAACAATATATTATTTTAAATGTCATATTTTCAACAAAAATACAAAACACACAAAGAAACAGGACAGTCCACACACAGGGAAGAAAAAAAAGTAGTCAAAAGAAACAGTCAGTGAGGTGATCTAGTGGGTGGACACACTAGACAAAGACTTTAAGTGAGCTAAAACCTAAAAAAGCAGGAAAAATTTTCCAACTCATTCTATGTGATATCACTTTGATACCAAAACCAGGCAATGACATCAGAAGAAAACTATAAACCAATATCCTTATAGTATAGATGGAAAAATACTCAGTAAAATACTGGCAAACTGAAGCTAGTAATATATAAAAAGGATGATACACAATGACTAAGTGAAATTTACCTCCAAAATGCAAATTGCTTTAATATCCAAAAATCAAGGTAATACACCACATTAATACAATAAAAGACAAAAATCACATGTCATCTTATTGACCCAGAAAAAGCATATGACAAAATCCAACACCTTTTCATGATAAGAACACGCAACAAACTAGGAATAAAAGGAAACTTCTTCAACTTGATAGAGGGCATCTACAAACAAAACCCACAGCTAATTACATACATAATGGTGAAAGGATGAATGTTTTCTCCCTAATATCAGAACTAAGAGAAGTATATCCAAAGAAGTATATCTACTTATGTCATTGTATTCAACATAGTGCTGGAGGTTCTAGCCAGGATAATTTGACAAGAAAAAGAAATAAAAGGCATTCAGATTGCAAAGGAAGAAGTAAAACTATTTCTATTTGCAGAAGTCCTGATCTCATATATAGAAAATCCTAAAGAATCCACTAAGTGGATTCTTAGTAGAGATACTCAGTAGAACTACTAAGTGAATTCAACAAGGTTGCAAAAATCAATTGCAATTCTATACATCAGCATTGAAAAATCCAAAAATGAAATTGAGAAAATAATTTCATTTATAACAACAACAAAATAAAACAGGAATAAAATTTTAAAAGGTGCAAGTCTTGTACAATGAAAACCAGAAAACACTGTTGAAAGAAGCTAAAGACCTAAATAAATGGAATGTTATCCCACATTCATGGATCAGAAACTTAATACTATTAAGGTGGCAATGTTTCCAAATTGATCTACATATTCAGGCAATCCCTATCAACATCTCAAGCTGGCTATTTTGCAGTAATTGACAATATGATCCTGAGATTCATATGGAAATGCTATGGACTCAGAATAACCAAAATAATCTTAAAAAAAAAAAAAAGAACAAAGTTGGAGAACTCATAGTTCCCAATTTCAAAACTTACTACAAAGCTACAGTAATGACAGTGGGGTACTAGCATAAACCTAGACATACAGATCAATAACAAAGAATTTAAAGTCCAGAAATAAACTCCTACATTTACAATCAAATGATATTTTGTTACCTTTTTAAAAAAATTAATAGACCTTTTTGGCCATTGAAGGTTTGCAAAAAAATTGAGCATAAAGTACAGAGTTCCCATATATTCCCTCATCCTCCTCCCACCCTGAGATTCCCCTGTTATTAACATCTTGCATTAGTGTGGTTACCTGTAAGAATTGATGAGGCAACACTGATACACAATTATTAACTAAAGGACTTAGTTTACATTAGGGTTTACTCTTTGTATTTTACTTTTATGAATTTTGACAAACGTATAATGTAACCATCACTACAGTATCATGGTCAATTGATTTTTAGAAGGGTACCAAGACAATTCAATGGGGAAAAGAACAGTCTTGTCAACAAATGGTGGTGGGACAACTGAATATCACATGCAAACGAATGAAGTTAGACTCCTGTCTCACCCCAGATACAAAAATTAATTCAAAATCGCACATAGACTAAATATAAGAGCTAAAACTATAAAACCCCTAAAAGAAAACATAGGAGTAAACCTTAAAATCTTAGGTTACTCAACGGTTTCATAGAAATACCACCAAAAAAGCACAAACAACAAAAGAAAAAATAGATAACTTTGACTTCATCAAATGAAAAACTATTCTGCGGCAAACAACACCATTAAGAAAGTGAGAAGGCAGCCCATAGAATGGGAGAAAATATTTGAAGATTATATATCTGACGAGGGACTTGTATGCAGAATATATAAAGGACTCTAACAACTCAATAATAGAAAGCAAATAACCTAAATAAAACACGGGCAAAGGATTTGGGGAGACATTTCTCCAAGGAAGATATACAAATGGCCAATAAGTACATGAAAAGATACTCAACGTCATTAGTCATTAGGGAAATACAAATCAAAAACAGAATGACAGGGCCGGCTCTGTGGCTTGGCGGTTAAGTGCGCGCGCTCTGATGCTGGCGGCCCGGGTTCGGATCCCGGGCGCGCCCCGAGGCACCACTTCTCCGTCCAACGCGAGGCCGAGTCCCACGTACAGCAACTAGAAGGATGTGAACCTATGACATACAACTATCTACTGCGGCTTTGGGGGGAAAAAATGAATAAATAAAATCTTTAAAAAAAACAAAACAAAACAGAATGACATACCACTTCATACCCACTAGGATAGCTAAAATTAAAAAGTAATAAGTGTTGGCAAGGATGTGGAGAAATTGGAACCATTACAAATTGTTGATGAGAATAAAATAATGGTTCATCCATTAGAAAACAGTCTGGTTCATCCATTAGAAAACAGTCTGGTAGTTCTTTAAAAGGTTAAACATAGTTACCATATGACTCAGCAATACCATTCCTAGGGATATACTTAAGAAATGAAAACATGTGTCCACACAAAAACTTGTACATAAATGTTCATAGACACATTATTTGTTTAATAGGCAAAAAGTGGAAACAGCCCAAATGCCTATAAACTGATGAACGAATAAATAAAATGTGGTATAACCATACAATGGAGTGTTATTCAGCAATAAAAATGAAGGAAGTACTGATACATGCTACAACATGGATGAACCTTGAAAGTATTATATTAAATGAAGGAATCCAGTCACAAAATCCACAAAGTGTGTGTTTACATATTCTGGATAGACTAGGCAAATCTACAGAGAAAGCAAGTAGATTAATGGATGCTAAGGCTGGGGGGAGGGAGACTAGAATGCAGAGTAACTGCTAATGGGCATTGGGTCTCCTTTGGGAGTGATGACAGCGTTCTAAAATTTGATTGTAGTGATGGTTACGTAACTCTGTGAACGTACTAAAAACTCAAGTGTACACTTCAAATGGGTGAAATTTACAGTATGCAAATTAAAATTATGGTCTGTATATTAAAAAATCACATCTATGGTCCTTGCTCTCAACGAGTTGACAACTAGAGTTGGAAAACATGCACTGAGACATATGACCTTGGCTCTGTGACTTCATGTTCCCTTGTGAAGTAAACTAACAAAATTGCATGAAGAATTTTTATAAGACTTTCTGTTACACCATCAATTTCAATTTGGAGAAAGAAAAAGAACTGGTTGACATCACTTTTATTCTTAGAACAGTAAGGACAGTATTAAAAAGTAAAAGAAGACAGACACATTACTCACAAATATATTTAAGTTTACGTTTACCTCTTTTTCCTTAAGCAAAGCTTCGTGTTTTTCTTCAAGCCGCTTCATTTCAAATGCCAGTGTGTCTGCCCTTTTGGATTCAGAGGAAAGTTTAACGTGAAGATCCTGAACCTTTTGTCAGAAACAAAAGTAAAAAAACAAGAGTATTGATAATACTGACAGTTTTTCAGAGTTAAAAAAATGAGAAACTGATTGGAAATAAAATTTATACTAGGATTATAGTCTAATTCTAAATATTTGTAGAAATAGCATGTAGATAAAAAGAACTAACATAAATTTAAAATACCCAAATTATAATTTAGCCAAAATAAAAAAAATGCAGCCTTCTATTCTAATGTTTATCTACATTGTTTGATAAAAGCAAAACAGAATATTTTAGGTTATAGCTCCTTTCTCGAGGCATTTATCACTGGTTATCGGAAATGCTAATAAACAATGAAATGTCCAAAAAAATTATAAGCTCAGAAGCCGATAAAGACGTACAAGACCTAGATAACACAAACTTAATGATCAACCCTTGAATCAAAATTCCAGATAGAAGAAATTTATCACAAGTTCACAGCCAACCACAGGCAATGTTTCTTCACTTATACATCATTCTTAAAGTATCAAATGGAAGGATGGTTGAGCTCTTTCAATTTCATTGATTAAAAAAATTAAGATATTTTCTTACCTGTCTCTTGTATGTTTCTAATTGTGTACGTGCTGCATTTGCCTTCTTTAATTCTTCTTCTAAGCTGACTGTATTATGCATATACATCATGTTTGTTTCCTGTAAAGTTTTCACCTGCTTGCGAAGGTCATTCAGATCTTGGAGCTTCTGACGATATATCTCTACTGTTGACTCCAGCTTACTTGCTTTATCAGAGGTAGCCCTATAATAATAAAGGCTAAATATTACTGTGTAAAAACTAGTAAATGCACATAACAATTTTATCCTGGCTGTAAAATGAGTCTTTTAAATAAACTATCAATTGGCTAAAACAAACAAAAAAAAAAATGAGGGAGAGACAAGAAATCATAAACTTCGTGAAAACTTTGGAAACAGATTCAGGCCTAAAATTGTCTCAAGTTCAACCTTTTTGCTATAAAGGCATCAAAATAAAAATGCTTCAAATTTGACACACTAAATTATCAAACTGTTTTATACATTAGCAAAATGTACCAAAAAAAACTGTTTTATAAATACAATTGAACAACTCTTAGCTACTCTGCAGCTTATGGGCCAACTGTGCTTTGTGCATAGCACTTATGGCAATTTTGTTTTAAATATTTGATATACTTAGAAAGTTGACTCAGTTTATAATTTGTCCGGCAAAACACTTCCCTTTAGAGCTGTGCTTACCTGACCAACTGGGCTAGAGAAAAAATAAATAAACCAAATCACTTCAATATCACACGCAGGTTCAAATTAATGGTTATAAAGACTTTTACTTCAAACGGCCATTAAAAACTGTGAGACAAAATAGCTATTTAAAAAAATTTAACTGAAAATATCAAGAACATGTGGATAATCTGTTTGCTTGAGTAACATTTCCAAGGCAAAAGGTAAACATAAATTTTATATTGTTCAAGGACAATCAGAGAACTCTGGGATAACCCTGAAATAAATGCTAAGACTCTCATCTATATTTATCTATATTTTATCAAATGCCAAAATATGGATTGTGAGAATGTATTTCCTTACATAAAAATTTCACAAGATATATTAATGAGTACAAGAGGTCAAGCTAAATGTATCTAAAAGAAACTCAGCTTACAAAATTTTAAGAAAAGCTATCATTCTGGGTTTATAGGTTCTAATGTGAAATTGTCCTAACAAGAATCAAGTATCATCCTTAAACTGCAATTACTCTCCACAAGCATAAAAGAAGTAAAGACAAGGAGCCTGGATCAAGACCACTCAATACGTGATACGTAGGGATAACTCGAAGAATCCCTGATGAATATACACAATGCCAAAATGACTAAGTAGTAACTCAGACAGGATACGATTATATTTAGACAGGCCGTACCTAAGAACGTCTATCTCATCTTTCAGCGCTCTTGTTTCCTCAGCAAGACTAGTCAATTCATCATTCCTATGCTGGAATTCAATTAGTTGCTTTTCAAGTTCTTCACAGTGAACACGGTAATCATCTTTTGCAGCTTCAAGCCTTGTATAAAGAAAACAAATAAGTATTTATAATGTAATTTCCATCATTTTTTTTTTTTTCTTACTGAGGCATAAGCTTAGCAAGACTTACTTCTAAGATGTTTTTTTTCCTTTTTTAATTCCACATTCAAAAGAAGAAAGACTAGAGGAATAAGATACCTTCTGACTCTTCGTTTTTGAAACAGACTTTAGAAGTAAGCAATGTTCTGAATTTTCATTTTCACTTCTGAATATTGTGCTTGGTCATCTCTAGTTCAAACAGGAATTTTAATTTCAAGAGATGAAGAGCAAATGTATAAATACATATTAAATTTATTCAAAAATATACATAGCATGTAAAGTGGTAAAATATTAACTCCAAGCAGACTATGATAAATTAAAGATACTTCAAACTGTACAGCAACAACAAAAAATTAAAATGACAAGACAGTGATTAAAATCAAATATTAAAAAATTATTTCATCAACCCAAAAGAATGAAAGAAGGGAAGAAAAAGAAACAAAAGTATAGACAGGACAAACGAAAAATAGGAAACTGACAGACCTAAATACAACCATCTCAAAAATTACATAAAAGGAAATGGACTAAACACATCAATTAAAAAGGCAGAGACTATCAGACTGGATAAAAAAGTATATGCTAATAAGAAGAGACATTTTAAATATAATGACACATATATTAAAAGTAAAAAGATGAAAAAATAATACCATGCAAACAATAAGCAAAAGAAGCTGGTTGGTTATATTAATATTAAAAAAAACATAAATTTTAAGTCACAAAGTATTACCAAAGATAGAGAGCTATTTCTTAATTGTAAGAGTCATTCATCAGAAAGACATATCATAAATGTGTATATACCTAAAAACAGAGTTTTAAAATACATGAAGAAAAAACTGATAGAATCGAAGGTAGAAATCTACAAAGCCACTGGTGAAAATTTTAACACCAGTCTCCCATAAATGATAGAACTAAATAAAAATATCAGTAAAAATATAGGAGATCTGAATAACACTATTAACCAGTTTGATATAATTGACATTTATAGAACATGTATGTCAAAAATTACAGAACACACATTCTTTGCAAGTACACATGGAACACTCGCCACAATAAAACATGTGATGAACAATAAAATCAGTATCAATAAATATTAAAAGACTGAAATCTCATGGACTATGTTCTCTAACCACAAGGAAATTAAATTAGAAATCAGTCATAATAAAAAGTCTACAAAAGCCTTAAATATTTGGAAATTAAACAACACATTTCTAAATAGCCCATGAGTCAAGGAAGAAATCACAGAGGAAATCAGAAAATATTTCAAAGAGAATAATAACAGAAAGACAACCAATCAAATTTTGGGAACACAGCTAAACCAGTGCTTAGAGGGAAATTTACAGTTTTAAAGGTTAATATTAGAAATGAAGAAAGGCTTAAAATCAATCATCTAAGTTTCAACCTTAACAGGGTAGATAAAGAAGAGCAAATTAAATCCAAAGTAAGCAAAAGGAAAGACATAAACACAGATCTAAAACTAATAATACAGAAAGCTAATAAAGGGTGTTTGAAAAGATTAATAAAATTGATGAACCCCTAGCAAGAGTGATTAACAAATGAGAGAAAATACAAATTACTAATATCAGGAATGAAAAAGGAAATATCAATACAGCTCCTAGAGTCACTAAAGGGACAATAAAAAGAATATTATGAACAACTTGATGCCAATAAATTCAACAACTTAAATGAAAGAAATATATACCTTGAAAAAAACAACTTACCAAACTGACACAAGATGAAATAGAAAATCTGAAAAGCCCCATGACCATTAAAGAAATCACATTTGTCATTAAAAGCCCTTTCACAAAGAAACCCACAGGTCCAGATTGTTTTATTGATAAATTCTATCAAACATTTAAGAAAGAAATAATATCGTTCTTACATAAACTCTTTCAGAAAATAGAGGAGGAGAGAATACTTCCCAATTATTCTATGAGACTAGCAGAACTCTGATAACAAAACCTGAAAGACATTACAAGAGAAAAAAGTTACAGACCAATATCTATTATGGAGACAGTCACAAAATTCTTTCAACACAGCAAATCGAATCCAGTCATATGTATACAGGATAATAAAATATGACCAAAGTGGACTGTCACTGGAATAGAAGATTTTTTAACACAAAAAAACTAATTGATCATATTAAAAGAATGAAAAAGAAAAACCACACTCTTTTCAAAATTCGGAAAAATCATGACAAAAATCAACACCCATTAATGATAAAAACTCTTAGCAAGCCAGAAATAAAAGGGAACTCCTTCAATCTGATAAAAAGCACATTAAAAAACGCTACAGCTGGCTTCATACTTGACGGTACTTAATTGAACATTTTCTCCTAAGACATGGAACGAACCAAGATGTCTGCTCCTGCTCAAAGCAAGAAAAACAAACGCAAGGCAGAAATAATAAAAAGAAGACGTGAAGCTCTATTATTAGATTAGATGACTATAGATTCCTTAGGATTTTCTAAGTAAACAAACCACTAGAATCAATTAATGAATAAAGAAACTTTGCAAGACATAAAAGTTTCAAAACACAAGATACAAGTTTCAAGATACAAGATAAAAGTTTCAATATACAAAAATCAAAGTACATATACATATTAGCAGCAATTTTTCAGAATAATTTTTTAAATTGCATTTGTAATAGTATCAAAAATATAAAATACTTGGGAATAAAGTTAACAAAAGACATACAAGACTTCTATGCTGGAAACAACACAACATTGCTGAGAGAAATTAAAGATTTAAATAAATGAAGATACCATATTCATAGATAGAAATTCTTAATATAATTAAGATATCAATTATATACAATCCAAATCATAACCACAAAAGGTGTTTTTTTCTCTTATTAAACTGACTAGCTGATTCTCAATTTATGTGAAAATGCAAAAGACTTCAAATAGCCAAAACAAATTTTGAAGAGGAAGAACAAAGTTGGAATATTCACACTACCTGATTCTAAATGACTTACTCTGGAGCTGTGGTAATCAAGGCCGTGTCGTACAGGCATAAAGACAGACAGATTGACCAAGGGAAAAGAACTGAAAGTCCAGAAAGTGACCCACATTTTATGGTTATATCATTTGTCACAAAGGTGCCAAAGCAATCTGATGGAGTAAAATAAAGATCTTTTCAACTGATGATATTGGAACAACTAGATACTCATATGGAAAACAAAAATAAAAACAATGCTTGACCTCTACACCTCACACTACTTTCAAAAAATCAATTCAAGATGGACCATGGACCTACGTGTAAAAGATACAACTATGAAAGTTCTAGAAGAAAATAGGAGAAAGTATCTTCATGACATAGAAGTAGACAAAGATTTCTTGGATAGTACACAAAAAGCACTAATCTTAAAAATATTTGATAAATCAGATTTCATCTAAATTAAGTACTTTTATTCTTTGAAAGACAAAAAATAAAAAGGCAAGCCACAGAATGGTGAAATCCTACTACACATATATCTGACAAAGGATTTGTATCCAGAATATATATTTCTTAAACTTCTATACTCAATAAGACAGACAAAAAACCCAATTTAAAAACAAGCTAACGGTGTGAAGAGACAATTCACAAAGCAAGATATATTGCCAATAAGCACATGAAAAGGGGCTTTATCACGTCATTAGTTATCAGAAAAGTGCAAATCAAAGCCACAATTAGATACTCCCACACATTCCCTGGAATAGCCAAAATGAAGAAGACTGAGAAGACCAAATTATCCTATGCAGGCAGAGCAACTAGAACTAGTTCTGGCACACACGAGTTCTGGCAGCACACACCAGTGGGAATGTAAAATGGCAGGACCACTTTGGAAAATGGTTTGCTGTATCTTTTCAAATTAAATATAAATCTACCGTGTAACTCAGCAATACCACTCTATGTATTTGCCAATGAGAAATGAAAAAATATGTTCACAAAAAGTCTTGTATTCCAGTGTTCACACCAGCTTTTTTATAAATTTAGCCAAAATCTGGAAACCCAAATGTCCATCTAAATGAAAATGGATAAACAAAAGGTGGTATAATGTGGAATAATTCCATATAATGGAATAGTACTCAGCAATAAAAAAGAATGAATTACTGACATAGTCAACAGCATAGGTAAATCTCACAAACATGCTGAGCAAAAGAAGCCAGTCACCAAAGGGTTCATACTGCATGATTCAATCTTAGTGAAGTTCTAGATCAGAGAAAACGAATCTATGGTGAAAAATCATCAGAAGAGTAATTAGCCTCTGGGAGGAGGGGGTCAACTGGGAAGGGGCATCAGGGAACTTTCTGTAGTGATAGAAATGATCTATCAAATGACAAACGTGTGAGTTACACAAATGCACGCATTTGTTAAAACATGCCAAACTGTATTCAGCAATTCATTTCACAATATGTAAATGTTATCTTGTGAAAAAAAGAACTGTAAAAATACTGAAGTCTAGTATTAGTTTGCTTTTTACAAAAGTATGGGTTAGCAATTCTTAAATTACTTTCAGTGTGTTTTGGGATTGGGTAAATGAGTAAATATATTGAGGAAAATGGAAGCCAGGTTTCTCACTAATGGAGAAGGGAGTTACAATACAGAAATGGAGAAGATTAGAATGAACCCTGAAGTGACCAGACTAAAATGAAAGATGTCAATATGAACTCACTGTTCATAACTGTAGATATAAATATAAATGCAGATGTGTATATATACAAGCGTGTGAACACGGGCACGTATGAACCTGTGCAAGTGCACTTCCTAGCTCTGTGCACCAAGGCGGCCTAGGAGCAATGACAGAAAAATTCATCTGGAGCATAGATCTTTGTTTATAAATAACATTCTCCACTAAAAGGAATAGAACTCTTTTGAGAAATGGCTGATTTCAGAATTGGGAAAGGAAAAGGACCAGATGAGTCTGGAACATTTTGTTGTGCCAGAAAGTAAGAAAATGCTCAAAGAAGGATAGCAGTATGTTGAAAGGACACAGGGGCCATTTGAAAGGCTTCCCAGTGGTCAAATCTGGGACAATTTGAGCATCAAAATAAGTGATGAAATAATGGATTTAGAGTCCATTGAATAAGAATCCATACTAAATGCAACGCATAATCCTGGCTTACATTCTGAACCAGGAAAAAAAAATAGCTATTAAAGGACAGTGAGATGACTGATGGAATTTGAATGTCATCTGTGGATTAGATAATAATATTGTATCGAGGACAAATTTCCTAATTTTGATCATCATATTGTGGTTTATAAGAGAAAGTCCTTCTTAGGAAACATGTATCTAAGTATATAGGGACAAAGAGGCATGTCTCCAACTTACTCTCAAATGGTTCAGAAAAAAATTTGTATATCTATGTGAATACATAGAGAGATGCTAAAACAAATGGAGAAAACTGTAAAACAATTGTTGAATCTGAGTGAAAGGTATAAAGGAGCTCCCTGTACTTGCAACTTTTTTTTGTAAGTTTGAAATTATATTAAAATAAAGAAACAAAAAAAATTCACACAGTATAATTAGAGTGCCTGCTGTCAAAGCCTCATAGTGCAAGGCTCAGTAGAAAGCACACAAGAGACAATCAAGGTTTATTCAAGATAAGATGTACACCTTTCTTTTTTACAGAAGAAATACACAAGGTAAAATAAAAAGCATCTCTTTAGCTTAAGATTTACAATTTTTCCATTTACTACTGGGTTCCTTCTCCTATGTAAGAAACCCCCCATTCTCCTCAGGTTTCAGCAATCACTCCTTTAAACTCTTAGTGGACTTGCCTATGGCCTTCATTTGGCCCTTATCACATGTTATTTTGAATTATTTAGTTATTTTTTTTTGGTGAGGAAGATTGGCCCTGAGCTAACATCTGTTGCCCATCTTCCTCTTTTTGCTTGAGGGAGATTGGCCCTGAGCTAACATCTCTGCCAATCTTTGTCTATTTTGTGTGTGGGACACTGCCACAGCATGGCTTGATGAGCTGTGTGTAGGTCCGCACCTGGAATCGAATCTGCAAACCGTGGGCCACTGAAGCAGAGCATGCAAACTTAACCACTATGCCACTGGGCCAGCCTCTGAATTATTTTGTTTTTGTGTACATATCCCACTTGCCTAACTGGATTGTGAGTCCTGTGAGGGCAGGAATCACTTATACCAAACAGTATTTTCAGTAGCTTAATCAGTGTCCTAAACAAGTCTTATGATGCTTAATAACTATTGTTGATATTATGATTTTTTTAGCTATTAGTTTAATAGACAACTCGACAGAATGATTTCTACTGAAAATATTACCTGAAGTTTTCTTCCTGTAATTGTTCTAGTTGTAACTGTGCATGAAAATACTTTTTTGCAACCATTGTATTTGGATCATCAAATGATCCATCCAGCTGGTCAAGTTTTTCATTCATCATCTCATTCTCAGAAACTAGTGAATTCTTTTCATCTTGAAGCGCAGTCACCTAAAAACAAATACATGAACATAAGCATCAACAGTGAAAATAGAGTCTGGAGTTCTAGATTCTCATTCTGACTAAGCCATTAAACAGCTTGGTCAATCAGATTAGATAATTTCTAAGGAGACTTTCAACTCTGGAATTCCGTTTCTAGGAGGTTTGGGTCAAACAAAAGAAATAAAATTAATTTGACTCATACAGAGAAAACAGAGTTAATACATATAAGGAGAATATCTTCAAAATGTTATGCTTTAATTCTAGGAAGAAAATGTTTCTAAGTCTATAAAATTGGATGCACCAATCAACTTCAAAAAATTAATCTGGGGGCCAGCCCGGTGGCATAGTGGTTAAGCTTGTGCGCTCCACTTCAGTGGCCCAGCGTTCACGGGTTTGGATCCCAGGCGCAGACCGACGCACTGCTTGTCAAGCCATGCTGTGGCGACGTCCCATATCAAGTAGAGGAAGATGGGCACGGATGTTAGCCCAGGGCCAATCTTCCTTAGCAAAAAGAGGAGGATTGGCAATGGATGTAGGCTCAGGGCTAATCTTCCTCACACACACAGAAGGAAACTAATTTGTTCCCCTTTGAGGTATAAATTTATTTTTAGGATGCTGTTACCTAGTAAGCCAAAATATACACACATATGCACAAAGTTATCATTTTAGGTTCATAGTTGAAAATTATCAGTTACACATCATGTCTTCAGAGGGCAAGCATGTTCTTTGATTAATGAATCAAGACCAAAAGCTGAATTGAATCCATTTGCACATTGAGACCGTGTGCTTATGATTTAAAATGGATAAAAAGATGTAACTTTAGAATTCCATCAATATCAGTGCCCGATACATTTTTTTATTTTGCTTACATATTTATGTAACAAGCATGATTTGCTTCCTTGGTTCTGTTTTTTTAAAAACATCTTTAAAAATTTACAGCTACAGCTGTGATCTTTTAAAAGACCAGAAGTTTACGTATGATTTTATTAAGATTAGTTTGAAAAAAAGTTGACCTATCATGACTTCCAACATATTATTGCACAAGTTTGTCATTTTTATTTTCAATAGGTGTAATTAATGAGACTACATATTGACACACTGAGCTAATAACAGGAAATTAAAATTGTCTGATTGTCTTCAATACAGTATAGGCAGGTTACAAACATTGTCCTCTAAACGAGAAACACAAACAAAAGCTGGGAAACTGTCCCCATGCAGAGGATAGGAGGAAACAATTTCTCTTCCTAAATTCAATGCACCTTGTCATATAAGCAGTTTAGTGACTACTACCCGTCATGTACAATCCTCAGTGATTGAGACACAAAAAAGAATGCGAGTCTGTGCCCTTAAGATCCTTACAGTAGAAATGTAAACAATTACAGGAGAGAAAATGTTGAAGGTGCTTTGATGGAAGCAGACTACAGGGTAGGGGTAGTATACAAAGAAAGGAATATCTCATTCTAGATTGAAGGGAGGGGCTGTCATAAAAAGACTGGTAGAGGAGAACCAATACCCTTAGTCTTCAAAACTGGGTAGGAATCCTCTCAAGAAGGCAGAAGAGCAAGGGCAAATTTCGTTTTCAACACCGGGTGGGTAAGCGACCTCGCTCTTCTCCATGTTTCACATTGTGGTTGCAGAGCCACAGACGTGAGGGAAGGGAGTATTGAACACGCAAATGCCTCGGACCTGCCCCAGATATATGACTTAGAATGTCCAGTGGTGGTTCTAAATCTCCTTCAACAAGCTCCCACGGTGATATTTTCTTTAGGTTCATGCTGCACCTGCCTGTCCCTCTCTCTATTTCTGATTTTCTCTCTCTTCTCTGTCTGTCTCTCTGAGCTATTTAAAAGGAAAAGTTAAAAAAGCTAAAAAATACTAAAAGCTTGAAAATAATACTTATTTTCTCACATCACCCAGACTTAACTTCATAATTTTTATCACGTTTGCTTATTTAAAAAAAATAAAATATAAACTTCTATAGCTGGAGTCCTCTTTATCATATCGTACCCAGTCCCACAGGATTCTTAGGCACATTAAAGTTTGAAAATCCCAGCCTCAGAACATAAACTTATCTGTACAATGCCGGGCAGGAGTATGTTTTCTCTATCATACTATAAGCAAGAACCAGCCACTGCACTGCAGTAAGCGAAGGAGCGCCACCTACTGCTGCCGGGTGTTAGGAACAACGGCCGGGAAAGGCAGAAGAAAGAGCCACTGGTAAGCAGGTCACAACTTCCCCGAGGGCCCATAACAACCTTGACTGGAACAGAACTAGGAGACCGCACCAGAGTTCCTCAAGCTTCACATCAAAATCTCCTGATGAGTTTTTTCTCTTTCTTTTTGTAAAGTGCACATAATCAGGCTGTCCTCCCGACTTACTGAATCAGAATTTCAGTTGTTCTAGTATTTATAACCATAATTTGCAAAGAACAAGCACAGTTCTGCATTTAAGTGAATTCAGTCTTCACCACCAGATCTTTCACCACAGAATCTCCATTCCTGCGTTTTCTATTTTGATTAAGACATGTTTGCTAGCTGGACTGTGTCGACGAGTCGTTTTTTTCAAGAAGAACTCAAGTGTTTGCATCTGAGCTCTTCCTCTGGCTTTACTGCTGTTTCCCTCCCTCAGCATTCTGTGGACGTTGCTCCTCTGTATTCTGGCACTGAACTTGTCAGGGAGCCTGATTTTCTTGTCCTTATGCGTGATTTACCTTTTCTACCCGAATGACGGAGGAGTTGTTTTTCCTTTAATCTTGAAGTTCAACAGCTTAACTAGAATAAGGCTTGGTGTTAAACATTATTCACTGATCTGTTTCTATACCTGCAATTTCCTTTAAACCTGCACTGTGTTGTCCTACCACTTAAGTCTATTTATTATTATTTTTTTTTTGGTGAGGAAGATTGGACCTGAGCTAACATCTGTTTCCTCTTTTTGCTTGAGGGAGACTGGCCCTGAGCTAACATTTGTGCCAGCATGGCTTGATGAGTGGCGGGTAGGTCTGCACCTGGGATCTGAACCTGCGAACCCCAGGCCGCCAAAGCAGAGCGCACGAACTTAACCACTACACCACCAGGCCAGCTCCCATCTACTCTATTTTACTGATGTGTTCTTATGCAATTGTTATACTACATGAAGCAAAAGTTATTTTCTAAGCTTGGCTATTGTCTTTTACATGCTCTTCTCTATTTCTGTTTTTAATCTGTAATGTTCCCACAGATGTTATGCTTTTATGCTTTTCACCTAGTTCATGCTTTGTTGGCAGTCAAGACACCTATCTGTTCCAGTGTAGTGCTGACGACTTCTTGGTCACCCTGTTCACTATACCCAGGACCAGTCTATTTTCCCCTCTAAGTTATGGTTGGGACTGTTTTCTCTCCACACCACTCTGTGTAGCCTTCTGATGGCCAGGGAAGGGTAGGGGGCAGTTGATGCAATGGGCCATCTTTTTACAACACCTGGGCTAGCCTTTGACTTCTGAGGTTTAAGTTCCCTATAGCAGGATGGTGAGAAGTGTATCCCATTCCCATGGAGGAATTCCTCTGGGCATTAAACTGTTTCCTCAACTCACTGTGCAGCCCTATAGCCTCTGCTTCTGTCAGAAGGAGTCAGGCCTTAGTTTCTTAGCTGTCATTTCCACTCCTCTCCAGTCCAAGGAAAGAAAAGGAAGGAATCAAAGGGTGGATTTCCTTCTGCTTGGGTAGACTGCCATGAGCAGTCTCAAGGGTTTTGTTGATCCCCCTGTATGGGCTGGGGATTAGGGAAGAACAATGGGTGCCTGCTGTGTAGCACCTCTGTCGGTCATACACCTACTTCTTTTCTTGATTACCAGCTTTTAATTTAACTTCATTAGGTTATATCCTTTCTCCTGTTTACCTGCCCTTGGTGAATTTTATTACAGTTTATTTTTCTTTTTTGGTTCATTTGGTTAGGTATTAAAAAAGAATCCCCCCCCAAATTTTAAAATCACTGTCAAGTTATATATGACTAAAAGTAAACATTTTTCAAAAACAATTTTCCTTATACAATTGGGATATGTGTCATATATACCTGCCTGGATTTCTGTTAAATTAATAAAGTATTTTTTGTTCTGATTATATGCAGTAATCATTCATTTCATGTGCACAGCAGATAGTTGAGAGTTGAATCTATTTTAATACTAGAATTAAAATGCCAAAACTTGGGATGTCTACACTTTTCAACTAAAATCAGATCATCAGATACTCTTTATTATGTGTTACAAACACTCAAATCTTTTAATACAGAATTTTGTGTTCTTGTATAAGCATTTCTCAGAAAACTGTATAGAGATCCTACATGAGACCAGTAACAAGAGAGGACTGAATGATTCAATCCTCTCTTCCTTATATGAGGTATTCTGGAGGGTAGATATGATGTTACTTGAAAATGATCTCAGATGCTTTGCATGTGTGTGCATACGTGTTATAACGTGTGAGATGAGGGTGGTTAGGAAAGATGAAAGGAGAACAGGTAGAATTTCCCCTAATTTCGAGACACTGCCTTTGTTCAAATATAAACTTTGGCTTTGTTCAAACACAGAGGATTGATTTTTAAAGAGGAAGTTAAAAGACCTGGATTCTAGGGCTGTCACTGCCCTAAGTAGCTGAGTCACTCTGACCAAGTCGCTTCTCTTTTCCTTATTTGCAAACCCTGGAGGGCTTACCCAGCCCTATCATTCTAGATATTTATCTCAAGGATAATGCTACCATAACCCTTGTTCCTTGTCCTCATACTTTTCAGAGTCAACTAGTTATGTAGCTCATCATTTGAACAAAAATGCAATTTACATACAGCATATTAGGATGGTACATTTAACCTTCTGTATAATTTTTCAAGATCTTCACATTTGCATTTCCATGTGACAGTGATAACAACAATATATGCAATCACATGCATAGTGTTTATGTGCCAGGCCCTGCTCTAAGTGATTTAGGTACATTAACTCATTTCATCCTCATAATCACTCTGGGAGATACAGACTATTATCACATCATTTCTCAAAAGAGAAAACTGAAGTATAGAGGAATTAAGTAATTTGCCTGAGAGTATACAGCCAGCTGGTAACGTGGCCAGGGTGGCCTGCTTTGACAACCTACCCCTTTCACTGTTAACTGCTGTCTCTCACACCAAGTTCACTTTGCTAACACGTATGTGCCTATGAACACAAGAATTATATACACGTGTCCATATGCATGTAGATGTTAGCAAAACAAACTTGGCGTTGCATTTATTGGGAGTCAAGCACTTCTAAGTCCTTCCATAAATGACCTCACTTGATACTCACACCCTATGAAGTAGATACTTTTATTCCCCCTTTTGAGAAAAGAAAAAACTAAAGCCTCATCTAAATAGTTGAAATTCTACAATTAGAATGATCTTCTCAAAGAAGTAGGTAAGCCAGCAATTTTTAACTCTAAGAGAAAAATAATTATGAAATTCATCCTTGACTATTCAAGCCCATAATGAATCCTTTTAAAGATCCCTCCATGAAATGAAACCCAACCTCAGAAACACTTTGCCAATTAATTAATTAAAATGAAACACTTGTGAACTTAAAGAGGAAACTTTCTCAGCTCGGGTGTCTTTTCCGCACCTGCAGATCTAGTTCTTGGCATCTTTGCCTCAGTTCTTCTTTTTCTGCTAGTGCTTCCTGAAGTTCTTCCAGGGCCCTTTTAAGCTGAAATATAAAATGTCCCAATTCTTAGTAAATCTGTTTCGACACAAACTGAAAAATATACTTTTATCACTAGACATGTATACATTATTATTGGAAATGGTTTTTAAATTTACCTATTAACAAATAAGTCTTAATTTGTTGTTTTTGGGTGAATATTTACATAGTCTCATTAACATTTAAGACTAAGTTCCCACAGAAATAAAGTTTTATGAAAATCCTTGTGAAATATTTAAACAAAAGAGTAGTAGAGGATGCACTGTTTAATTTCATCACAGAAAAAAATTAGAACACAGCATACTTAAATTTAAATATAAATTTTATAGGAAAAATTTTTAATTTGAAATAATTCTTGAGATGACTGGTGACACTCAGGAAAAACAGATGTACAAAAATATAACAGGAAAAGCACGTGATGTATTTGCCTCTCCTCGTACCCTTTGCCTTACAACCCAGGTGGGGTTACACGCAGGAGGAGAGTGCCTTTGCCCCCATGCAAACAGTCATGTAATAAAACCAGGGAAAGGGTCTGAGCTGTTTTTTCAGTATCAGGAGAGAGGAAACAACTGTGACAAAAATCACATTACCGTATTAGATAAATAAGAACTTCACAGAATTTTTAAAAATGTCTACTATTTAATTATATAAACATACAGAATGGGTCACATATGTATTACAAGTGTCAGAAGAGAAGTTCAACGCTACTCAGCACTTTGAACATAATCATAGAAACTCTGGAGTACACTACTTGCACTCAGGAAGGAATGCATAATAATATTCAATTGAGATCTTACAGCAGAAAAGAAGGTCTAAATTTCATAGACGAAAATAATCTTATATATGCTCTCCTATGTAAGCCAGACCAAGACAGTAATTGGCAAAGGAACTGTGTCACGGTTTTCAACATTTTCCTCACATACTGAAATACTTACCTGTTGCTCTAATTCTCCAACAGTATCATTTGTAGGAGAGCTCAGTATTTCTTTACTCATCAACTAGGAAAGTAAAATGGAAGAATTAAGTAAAATAAAGTGATGTTCATGCAATAAAAATGTTTACTTGAAAGGACAGTAAAATGCTTATATTTAGTTTTTCCTTGCCTTAACTTGATGATCCTTAGAATATTATTCCAATAAAAATTTCATATAGGTTTAAACTAAATAACACAATGTTCAAGCATTATATTAGTGAGGACATTATAAGTAAAGTGTCCTTGAAATATGTAGATATATTTAAAATACTTGTGTACTGAAAACTTACAATCCAAGTTCTAAAAGATGAATTACTAAATAAAACCGAACACATTAAATAATAAAAAATGACTCTTCCACAACATACATTACCACTTTTTAAATATAGCCTTTAAATGAGTCATATGGCAAAACTTCTATTGAGAAGTCATTTTAAAAGAAGGAGCTATAATTATATGAAAGAAAAGATCCCGTAAATAACTTTTTTACATATGAAAGGCAGATTTATTTATGTGCAGAGATGCTTTGAATTCAAAGCAACAATGCAAACGCAGAGTGTGCAGTCTTCTAAAGTCCCGGGTGATGTCTCCTCTCAGTCAGGCCCTTTCTAAACTCGGTTCGTCCTCACCAGTCCCCCTCCACTTTCCCTCAGGTCTCCTCTGCACTGCGCCTCATCTCAGCCATGTAGTCTGATTTCAGGACTCAAGATGCACCACGTGAATTCTGAATCTTTATGGTTCAACTGAGATAACCAGCCTGGCTTAAACCCAGTTTACCTGGCTCCAAACCCTAAGTATCACCATAATTGCTCACAATTCTAACATTCTGAAAATGCACATGGGAGAGAGAGAGAGATACACACATACTTTAAAATGTCAGGAAAGTTTGCTCCAACTGGCAGAAAAAAGAGAAGAAATAAAAATTCCTATCTGGGAAGAGGTTGTTTATCCTACTTAGTTGAAGTTATTTAAAGGAACTTAATTTATCTTTTAAAATGGAGAGGTACTAAAATTGGGCTTGAAGTCTTTGTAAGATAATTTGGAAAAAAAAGAAAAGGGAAGACACAACTAAAGATGAGCAAACCTGCTGCAAAGGGCAAGTTTACACAAACAGAAATATACACATCCATAAAATTTACATCAAAAGTTTTACATAATGTGGTTTAGGATTTTCACGCCTATGTGAACATGGCATAACTCACCTCCTGAATAGCAGTCATGACCACATGCTGAACAGACTCTTCCAGTGTCATTATATTTTGAATATGTTCTGTGATTTAAAAAAAAACAGATATGAAAAAAAACCTAGTCTTTACCCACAGTACTTTAGCCATTCAATTAACAGTATAAAAATTCATTTACCACACATAATTTTTTATGCAGGTACATTATTTTTCCATAAGAAATATGTCCACTGAAAACAGGCAGAATTGAAAACAGTCATGTAAATATTTTTAAGTGTTTTATTTTAAAGAAGAAAACCTCTAATTTCTTATAAGGAAGAGAAAGACAAGAAATTGCAATTAATCTTAAAACAATTATGACAATTTCTTCCCTCTTGTTAAATATTTAGTACTATGGGATGAATTCACATGTATTAAATGAACTCCTAAAATCTTAAGGCCAGAAAGTTTCATTTTATCACCTACATTTCAGAAGTTCGTTTCAGGAAGGCTTTCCAAGAAGGGACCTACACAGCCTCCTGTAAACACTGTTCAGCACCCACCAGGTCTCATCTCAAGGAGATCCTTAGACCTACCACAAACACACATGCAATAAGCTAAGCTGATTCTGTCTCAATAAGAAATAAGGAATCATGAGAAAGTCTTTCACATATTTGCAGATTTAAATCCACTTCACCTGTATGTTCTCCAGCTAAAACTATTTTCCAAAAATTTGAAGGACTTATTATTTTCTAAAACTTTTATTGTTCTAATGATTCTTCTGGAAAACTTCCAGAAGTTCTCTAATCTTTCTTTTATTTGTGAAGCCAAGAACTGGACAGAGATTGTGATAGATTCTGGTATGCATCTGACCACTAAGTGCTATAGGGTGTGGGAGGGGACGACAACTAGAGAACGCCCCGGCAACAGAAGGCTTTCTATAACTGAATTTTTTGGATAATGGAGTGTTTTAAGTCTGCTGAAACCTTCATAAAAATTATCTCTTTCTGCAACAAGATAAACAGGGTACTGTTGACCAAACTAGTTCATTCCTTCAAGATTGAGCCTACTGCAATACCTTGGAATCATTTTGAAAATCAATTCTCACTGCAAAGTATAAAGGTGTAGAAGCTGTTTTATATTCTGCAGGTGTTTTGGTTTTAAACATTAATTAAATTACTAAAAGTTGCTCTTCATTTATCTGCTCACTCCTAAAAATTGGGAACCCAGACACATACCTCCAAAAATAAATTCAATTAGATAATCCTGATGTTTTTAATAATGAAAATGAAACTCTTTATATTTACTACCTACTCGGGGAGGCGGAGTCAAGATGGCGGCGTAGGCAGACTCTGAACTCACCTCCTCCCGTGGACACAGCCAATTTACAACTACTCGTGGAAAAATTACCCCTGAGACAGAACTG